CTATCATGCAGTGACTTGGTATACTTTATAAGTACGTCTTGATATCTTCGACGGATGTAGAACGAAGTTTTTCTCGATTTTAGAGTATATATTTACTGAAAATTTAAGTCTTTAGTAGTCAACTGTAACTCTTCAGGTAACTTTGAAATATTAAAAAATATACTTAATTTATTTTAATTTATTATTGTTCATGACTTTTTATTTAGATTTTTTATTTTTCAAAATGCAACATCCTATAGGTACTTTATACAAAATACATAGCTAAATATCTACATTAGGTATACATCAATTATTTCAAATAGATATATATTTAATACATTTTTTTGTCCATATTACTCATTTAATGAATTATATATATTTGTCATTTTTAAATGAAATAAATTTAATTAACATGCATTTTTGTTAGCATATTTTTGCATATTTGAATGAAAATCAATGCATATTATAACATAATAAAATATAATTACATACATATAATTAATTTAATTTAAATTCCGGGACGCAATTCATAGGTAACTCAAAAAAACTCGGGCCGCAATTCGTATGCAGCCCAAAAAAACTCGGGCCGCAAGTCGGAAGAAATTTTTACCGCGGGACGCAACTAGTAGCCACCCAATATTTTGTCCTCTAACGAACGTGTCTTCGATGACGCGACGTCGGCTTTTGCTCGCCCCCCTTCTTGGTCTGAACTCATCAGTTAAATTTATGTAGAAATTATAATTTTTATACTGATTAAAAATGGTGAAAAACCACTATAGGTACTTTACATTATAATTTATTATGTTTTGTAAATATTTTATACGGCATGGTGATTAACCACCGAGTATACAAATATTATGCTCATTCCTGTTTCCTCCTTCAATTATGCAGTTATTCAAAATCCTACCAAAAGACAATAATACCTATTGGCTATTACCTATTACCTATTTCAAATTCATGAGAATTTATGAACTACTAAATATGAGTGTCTTGTATTATACCTCTGTGATATAATAAAAACAGATTTATTCAAATATGAAACCCCTGTTATAGGTACTGTAATTTGTTTAGGGGATAGTTAATCGAAAATTTTAACGTACCTACCTAATTCGAAATTCGAACGAGTAGTTTCTCAGTTATTAAAATGTTTATTTTAAGGATAATAGTCTTTAAAAATGGTTTTACAAAAATATACCTAAAAATAAGTAGATGTAATATATTTTCTCTAATTTCTAATTATTGTACTTGGTCACTTGGACCATTTTTACAAATTATTATTAATGATAGATTTAATTAATATGTAACTACAAATATTGTAGTATTGTGTATATTGTACTATTACTATGATGATTTGAAAATTGTAGACTACAATTTTCAAATCATCATAGTCTTCAGTCTTCACATATCTTCMATACCCGTTACCATGGATTACAATTTTTATAAAAAAAATAGTAGATGTTATCCTTTAGTACACATAGTTAAATAACTTAAAAATAATTCAAACTACTCGTTCGAACTTTGATTCTTTGATACGAATATACCTAATATCTATAATGCCTACGGAAAGATTTTCAGAAAAATTATCCACTAAACAATTATACAAATGACAGTAAAATAATATAAGTACAGTTGCCATTTGAAAATGGAAGTTTGTATAATTATTGTATCTCCTGCAAAGTATAAAACTCTCAAGAATCTTTAAATATGGTTTTTAAGAAAATTTAAAAATTCCAAGAATCAGTTTGTTGGTACTTTGGGGGTCAAAAGTAAAAAATTCTTAATACTTTTCTAAATAAT